CAGGCACTTTAGCATTACCTACTTATCTTCTCTTTTGCTATCCTGAAGGTTAAGCTCCCTCAGCTTTCCAAATGAAAGGTTTGGCATAAGCAGCAACTCTGACTAAGGAAATGGAAATAAGTGAAGGGAACGGCATTTTACTGCTGGGAGAGACTTCTGGAGTGAACTGACTTTGCCTCTTGGTTCTTCATCAAATCCAAACTGAGATACAGTTTAATATTGAGCAGGTAGAATAAATTGCCTTTGTTCGGGCACCGAAGAGCTTTAGTTAATTCGGATTTGGTTTGGATCAAGGGAGTAAGGAGGTTTCATCAATGATTACTCTTGACACTTTTAAACAGCTTTTAAGTTCTTATAATATGCGTAATCCTGAATTCCAAAGAATAGCAAAAATTAAGGGGAGACAGTAAATCAAAAGGGATCATGACCTTCCTTTAAATTGCAACATTGGGTGTTTAAACAAATCTCTTCAAGCTCTAAATTAACTTTTGATCTTCTTACTGGAAAAATTGTGCAAGTGAGTTGTGTTTATTTTTTTTCCATTTGCCCACAGTACGTCAGGGGAAGGAGAAGTCTAAGAAGGTTACAGCGTTGTAAAACACTGGGGAAAATAAGGAGCGAGCATGGGAGCACTTGAAGTCATGCTCCTTCACGACTATTCCCACAGAAGAATTCTGCACCAAGATATATATAAGATGAGAAGATAGCATTGGTGTTTCGATTCTACTCTTCTGTGTCTTAAACTACCAAAATGAATGAACCCCAGATGCTCAGATTTGTTCTGTATAATGCAGGAGTCAAACGTGTAAACAGAAAATGGGTAGAAGAGTCTGCGTAGAAGCAGGACAAATGATATGAGGAAAACAGGAGAAAAATGTTAAATGTGGCTTGGGTGGTTAGAAGAGCTTTCAGGAAGGCTTGTATTGGTTAAAACTTAGAATATATTTGCAAAAGCGTTTCCTGGAGAACACTGACCAGGGAATTGAGACAGAAGGGCTTGTACAGGAAATGCTGAGAGGACTGATGCTGAAGGGACAAGGATGTCCTAAGAGAGGCAGTTGGAGTGGTATTTGAGGACATTACGGAAGAAGCTAAAGTTTTTTCTTACTATCAATGGTTTTAAGAATAAGATCTCCCTTGAAACCATATACTGTTCTTTAAAGGACAGATTCCCTCCAGGAAGGCTCAGCGAGGGCCATAGCCAACTGAGCCTGGAACTCATCAGAAGTATCCAGAGGACACTTCCAGAGAAGGCTCTACAGTCCTAAATGTCACCGGGAAAGAACCATCCTAAGAGATGAATGAATGCTCTTTGTAGGACCATAAAGGTCTGAGGAATGCTTCTTCTTTGAATAGGGAAGAGATTGGAGAAAAGAAAATGAGAAGTGTGCAAGAAAGGTAGTCTATAGAGACGGAGATACTACAGGTGAAGTGAGGTCAAAGAGGAAGGGGAAGAAAATCACGTAAACCCATTTCATAATGATGTTTGGGCTCATTGTGTGCGTATTGTCAAACTAAGCAATCCCTAAACACTTTCTCTTCATTAATGTCTTCATTAGAGTTTATGTTCTATATCACATTGTTTCTCTATATAATTGTTCAAAACGTATGACCTTTATTGTTTTGTTACCCTCTGTTAGATTCTACCCTGTAGAGTAGCATCAGTTTCCATCTCGTGGTATATCACACATCACAAATAGGTACTTTATGACAGAATTATTTTGAAAATAGTGTACGGGATATATGATATTACTAATAGTAGCATTTTTTTTTTCTTTTAAAGGTTCTGGGAAAAATTCCAATCTAATTTTGTACTTTAAATGAAAGAAAAAAGCTTCAGACTAGTATAAAGATCACATTGTTTTTGAAACTAATAAGAAAAGCAAAGGCCACTGAGAAGCAGCAAAGGCTTAGTGACATAAAGTTGGAAAAGCAACACAAGACTAAATGGGACATTTGAGAGTAAAGGGAGGTTTTATAAATTATTTTTAACTACAAATGGAATGAGGAAATGAGACTATAAAATGACTCCCCATTATCATATAAGAAAGCATTTCTGATTGATGATACTAAAATAGAAAGAAAAAATGTCCCATATTTACCAAAAAAACTAATCTATAAAAAGATTTGGACAACATTAATTAGAAAGGAAATGGGTTGAAAGAATGTGAACCATCACCAATATATTTACTAAGAAATACTGAATATTATCTATATATCTTATAATTTTCCTAACTCCCTTGAATAAAAGACAACTTTTATGTTGCAATTTATAGGAAGGCCATAATCCCTTCTGATTATGTCTACTCATAATTATTTCTATTCTTTGAAATTCAGGATTAGGCATAGTTTAAGAACTTAAAAGCTGTTTAAAAGTGTCAAGAGGAATCATTTTAATTCCTGTTAACTGACTTCATACATATTTGGTACTTGGTAAACCTAGAACAATAACTGTTACCATTAAGCTTGTTGAAAATATTTCACTATGCTCATGTTAACAATCTTCAATATTTCATTTATATTTCTGTATCTAATTGTTCAAAACCTACAACTTTTATTGATTCATCCTCCACTCTGTTAGATCTTACAGTAGTTTCCATTTCATTGTATATCACATTGTGAGAAAGAATTATGGGGAGAAGTAAACCAGATTAGGACCTTCCTATAAATTACTACATTGGTGTTTAAACAAATCTTACATTGCTTTTGGTTCCACATAAAACCCGTGATTAACTTGCATCTCACCAAAGGCAGGAGATATGTTTTTTTCTTAAGCACCAATGAGTGGAGGAAATTTGACATGTAGATCCTAAAGATGGGGTGATGTACTGGGTTGATCATGGAGGGATTGAGAATCTGCACAGTAAAGGGTGGGACCTTCCACCTTCCTCTATTCTTTCTTTATTTTCCAGTTATCTACTTAAAACAGAGAGATTCCTTTTTGAAGAAAATGAATGGCACTTAAGAAGAGATTTCTATGTAAGAAATCTGGCCCTGACTCTGGTCCTGACTCTGGTCCTGACTCTGGTCCTGACTATGCCGTAATGAGTGTCATGTGTTGATAATCATGGTACTTCCTGAACCATGTTTAGTGCCTTGCTGTTAAATGTTAATTGACAACAAATGTCAGCTATTCCAAGAAGGCCTCCAACCTGAAATAAACATACAAATAGACAAAACAAACTAAAAAACAAGCCCAAATTTAGATCATTTAGAAAATGACTTCATTTTTCTACTCCTTTCCATTTGCTGAAACTCTTTAACTGCTAGTCCCATCCAGTTCTTAAAAATTGGTTTTTCATATCTATTTTTTTTTAGTGGGAAAGTTCTACTCCTGTACATTTTTTGGGAGTCTCTGTCTTATTTTCTTATGCCCAAGGCTATGCCACGATGACCCACCCAGCACTCACTTTCTTCCCCTAATATTTGCCTCTACCAGGCAAGCTGCTACCAAGCTTCCATAGCTGTGGAGCCCAGAATGCATAGTCCTGAACACCTAGGGCCACCTTCTTCTAGTCCAGTTGGCTGCAGAGCAAAATCTCCAGGGATGTCTCTGTTCCCAGGATTCCAAACTTTGACTATTCTCTCAAAAAATTTAGATAAATTAAAAAAAAAATTATCACTTTTATTTTATGTTTATGAGTGTGTTGTTTGCATGTACGTAAGTGCACCTGTGTGGTACAATACCTGTGGAGGTCAGAAGAGAGTGTTACATTTCCCTGGAAATAGAGTTACAGTTGTTAGCTTCCATGTGGGTGCTAGAAATCGAACCTGGGTCCTCTGCAAGAACAGCTGATGTGCTTAACCACTGAACAATCTCTCCAGCCCCTTTTAGATGAACTTTTGAACATGAAAAAAGAAATGTGAGTGATTAAGTGAAGGGTGGTGCATGAAAACTCACTCCAAAAGATAGCTTCAAGTCAGAGCTGTTGGAATTTTTGTAAGTTCCGAATGAAATAAAAGAGATAAAAGCATTATTTAATCTTTCGTACTCATCTTTCAGAAGTAAGCATTCTAATTTGTGAGCCATTAAGAGCCCAGTAATAAAGAAAAACACTGTCAATGTCTAAATGGAAGTAGGAAGAGCTTCTAAATCCACCCACATTCTTCTTTGTTCTCTGTCTGAAAGTTTGTCTTTTGGTTGTGAGCCCGAGCCTTTAACAGCTGCGCCAGCTCTCCAGCTGTCTATCTGAAAGTTTGACTTAAATGTAACTTTTTTTTTTCATAAAGTTGAATTCATGTTAGTGCCTGAATATTATCCACATATTATAAATCTTTAAAAATGAAGCATTGTCTTTAGCAGAACAGAGTCATTATAATGTAAAACCCATGATTATAAATCAGATTACTGATTGTGTACTTCATTTTACACATGCACAAGTCTTATATAAGGTCAAGCCAAAATCCCAGCATGGACGAGAGAGGGATGATGAAGGTCCATTCGTGTCTGAGGAGCCATGGGCAGCTGATGGCTATGAGGAGAGAGAAAGAAGGAGTGACTTTTCTTCAGGGGTACAGGTCCTGAGAAATTACCTATGCTCCAGTTGATGGTCCCACACTCATACACATATAGGCAGGGCTAACTGGATTCAGCAGGAATTAAATTTTTACAAAGAGAGGAGGAAACACATAAAGTTGTGAGTGAAAATCAGGGAAGGGTATAAAGGAGAAATTGGAGAGAAGAGAATGGGTGTGGATTTGATCCTAATACATTATATATGTGCGCATGGATATTAAATAAAATACTTTATTAAAAAATTTTAAATTTTAGTCCACAATTTGATTGGGTTATGGTTGTATTTACCAATGCAGGCCAATGTTAGTAATGATAAGGGATGATTTTTGAAGGTATGTATTAGAAATAATTAAAAGTAAATAAAGACTTCTGAGCTAAGATGGCAGAAAAAAAGTTCTTCCTTACAACTCTAGAATTGAGAAGAGCAAGGCCAACAAAGAAAAGACTGTATTCAGAAGAAAGAGGGAATCAGCAATGGCCACAGGTCCTTTCCTGGTTCATAAGTATGATGATTGGGGGTTCACGCCACTGTGTGACATGCACCTCTCTCAAACTGTGGCACAATGTCTGTATATTAACCCTCTGGCATAAAAGAAAAAGAGCAAAGGAAAAACAATGAAAAGAAAAAACTGTGGTGACAGAATAATTCAAAAGCATCTAGAAACAAGGCGAGGAAAACAGTCCACAACTCCAGCCCCGGCTCCAGGGCAGGAGGGGCTGAAACTGCAACTCCAAATTAAGCCAGGCTGCAGACCCAGGAAGAAGAGACTGACTCTTCTAGACATAGAAAAACCCCACAGCTCTTGTAAGACTGAAGTCCAGGGCAAGGACACTTCCTGAGTAGCAGTCCAGCATCAGAGAAGAAATTCATTGCGTTGCTCCTCGTATCTCAGAATATTGCAGCCAAGTACCATTTTGAGAAGGTTGTTGCTCGAGACTGAGCTATTTGGGGACTTGAAAATAAGGAACAGTCGCAATTCAAGGAGTCTAGGAACATCCAACCATAGTAGCTCATTGACCATTGTAGTTCGGGGAGGATTAGACATGGACCCACTAAGAAATGTCAGCAGCCAACAGCTCAGATTGCAGAGAGTATGATAGTTGGTGGCCTCTACGTCTTTGGTAAGGATTCAGGCTCATCACTGTAGATTACTGCATAGACTGAGAACTCTGAGCTGGTAGTTGGAAGACTGATTAGCCTCCAAAGGTACTGACACATGTAGTTGGCTACTCAGTGGCACTGAAAACACTGGGCCCAGGACCAGGACCAGGAGATGATTAGACTTATCCAGCCTCCTTTTCAGAGAGGGTTTGCTGCTGAATGGGATCTAGCATGCTGAAACTAGCAAGCAGAGTGTCAAGTTTCCTTGGTTTTCCCTTTCCAGAACAGAGTTCTTCTCCTAGTCTCTGTCTTCCAGGGACACCTCTCAGATATGATCCAAAACGGCTCTACTAGACCTGTTGGAGTCTAATAACAGAGGACCCAGAAAGTAGCTGGTTCAATTGTCTTCCATTCCACTCCCCCAGCCATTTTACTGCTTTCTTCTTACTGGATTTTTGGCATAAATATTATTTATTTAAATTTTCTGTTTTCATTTTTATCCCTCTTTGTAACTTTGCTTCTGTTTCCCCTTCTCCCGCCTCCTCCTTTATTTCATTCTTTTATTACTATTACTTTTAACTTAACTAATTAACGTTATAGTTTATTCTATGTTATTTTTACCACTTTCATTTCAGTGGTTCATTTGTGGTGTAGCAGTTGTCTTTAATTGGCTTTTATTGTATTTTTATATTTGTTTTTTGGGGTATTACTGTTTTTATGGAGGTAGCTCTCTCCTCCCTGAACAGTCCTATGGATTGAGCTCTCCAGAGAGGGCTGCTCACTAAGAAGACTCCCATGTAAAGCCAGAAGAGATAGCCATCCCAGCACATCCCAGCAAATCACAACATAGAAACACAAGAAGTATGAAAAAGTAGGGCAATAAGACTCCTCTGGAAATCCATTAGCTCTTCAGTAGCTTAATCTCAGGCTACTAAATGGTCGAATGAAGATGAAAATACAATTTACTAGAACCTTTGTGATATAGTGAAGAAGGAAATTTATAAATATGATTGCCTATATTAAAATTAGAAGAGTCTGGGACTGGAGAGATGGCTCAGTGATTAAGAACCCTGGCTGCTCTTGCAGAGGACCCAGATTTGATTCCCAGAACCCACATGGCAGCTAACAACCTTCTGTAAGTACAGTTCCAGGGGATCTGATGCCTTCTTCTGACCTCCATGGGCACTGAACAACACAAGTGTACTTACACACATGCAGGAAAAAACAGTCATACTCATAAAATAAGAGTAATAAATATTTTAAAAATCAGAAGAATCTTAAATAACAAGATAAACCCAACCGTAGGTTGAAATAAATAAAAACATGAGAGAAGTTAATGAACTGGAAACTTAAAGAACAACACAAAGAATCAATGAAATAAATAGTTCTTTGAAATCATCAACTAGGCTGACAAATGCTTAGCCATATTAACCAAAAGAAAAAAAAGACCCAAATTAATAAAATTACAAACAAAAGGAGATATAAAAGATACCGTTGAGATCTAGAAGATCATTAAGGAATACTTTCTACCAATATTTTAATATTGGTAGAAACCAAGAAGTCTTAAAAACATACATGCCAACTATTCCTTTACAGAAGGTAAAGGAATACTTTTAAACTCAACCTACCAACTCAGTATAATATAATCAACTGAATTGATGTCAACATATCATTGAATAGTATCTGACAACTATGTTTAAAAAATTCTTCACAGCTGGGTGTGGTGACTTCCATTTGTTATCTTATGGCTCAGGAGAGTGAAGCAGAGGATTGGATTACCAGGAGTTAGAGGCCAGCCTGGGCTATAGAGTGGGATCTTCCGTAGGAAAAAAATCTTCCCAAATATAGCTTTCATAAGCTTAACTACATGATACCTATAGCAAATGTATGTACTATATGACATAAAGTTCTAGAATAATCTACAATAAACTTAGAAATTTTAAAATGCACACTGTATGCATGGAAATACACTTTGTCACATTAACTTATACATATAATGATAGTAAAAAATAAAATATAAACAGCATCTCCTATTCTCCACATTCATGAAGAGTATCCTAAAGTTCCTAGCCTCTACAATTAAATGAGAATAAAAATAAGTGGATGACCATCCACTGTGATAGATGAAATGATATTATTATTTGATATTATTTGCAGAAGGTGTTTTCTTCATGGGTTACTGAGTATGTGTGTAATAGCTGGAACAGATTTTTCCAGCCTCCAAACCATCCAACCTTGGAAATTCCTGGCCTATATTGATCTGGTTAATTTAATGATATGCAATTATTTGTTTCTTTCTAAACTTTTACAGTGTTCTTTTCAGTATATTAGACTGAAAAAATAATTGAGCTTTGCCAGCATGAACAAAGGGAAACCTTTTGTGGGGGCCTCAAACTTTATATGTCTTAGAGCAGTAGGAGAGGCAGAGACAAAGCAGCATCTAATTTGGCTTAATGGGCAATGTGCCTTAAGCCCGCTTGGGGAAAAATTGTGGGGTTTTATAAGGCCAGTCTCAGGCTCCCTATAAGTCTTTCCCTAAGTGCACAAATTCTAATACTTTAGTTTCTTTATCCCAGGGAATGTTTCACACTGCCCCAACACTGTTGAAAAGTTGCTTTCTCTTAAATCCATTCGGAAGTCATGAGTTTTAAAGTCCCAAATCTGATATAAAAATTATATGGGGGAAATATAATCGATGCACTGCTTCTTTGAAACACAGAGTGTTGTCATTTTTCAACGATCTAATTTGTAAAAGTTGAAAATATAAAATATGAGTTGTATTTTTTCCTTAAAAAAAAAAAAAAAACCTGGGACTGGAGAGATGACTCAATAGTCACGAGCTCTTCTTGCAAAGGACTAAGTTCCCAGAACCCATGTTACAGCTCACAGCAGCCTGTAATTCAAGCTCGAAGGGATCTGATATCCTCTTTTGGCTTCTGTGAGCACTGCATTCATAAGCATACACACAGACACACATATACACAATTAAAAATAATAAAATATTTTTAAAAACTTAAGCATTAAGTGCTCTAGTAAATTATGTTTTACTTAGAAATCCTAAAATAGAATTGACTATATCTTTAGAGAAAGCAGCTTTCAAAAACTAAAATTAAAGAAAAAAGAACGTACTAATTGTTATGAAAGGTTGGGGGGAGTATAGCTCAATGGTAGGCTTCTTGCCTCACATGGATAAGGCCCAAATTCAATCCTCAACACTGCAGAAAAAGAAAAGAAAAACAGAACCAGAAAACAGAAACGCTATGCACAGTGGGAATGGTGTGAGACCTGTATCTTTTATCTCCTTGGTCACTACCAGAGCTGTTGACCCTGTAGTTGTCATGGCATAGGCAGAAAGCCTATGACAGATAATACTAGGTCTTTTGTTACTCAGCCAGCATTTGGATGGACATGCCCTTCATTGCTTTTCTACTTTTTCTACTGTGGAATGAGAGCAGATATTCTTAGTGTATAGGAAGTGGGAGATGGTTAAGTTAGTATATGGTTAATTGACTGTTTTTAAGAGAAATGAGAGTTATATTTTATGAAAAATCATTTTTACCTCTTCACAGTTTGTGTGTAATTAAAATACTGTGCATATATATAAATTGTATAACTTGAAAGCTTCTTTGAATAATTTTGAAATATGTATACACACGTGGTATTATTACCACAATTCAGATAAGAAGCATATTATTACTCCCATTTTGCCCTTTTATGACCTCTTTCTCTTTTTCCTGTGTTATCCCTCATCTACATTTAAACTGCTTTGGTTTATGTCACCGTACATTCATTTGCATTTGCTGAATTTTATATAAATATTACCATATAGTACACGGTTTGTTTGTTTGTTTGTTTTTTTTTTTTTGGTCTTTTTGAGACAAGGTCTCCCTGTAGCCCTAGCTGGCCTGGATTCGGTATGGAGACCAGGCTGGTCTTGAACTCAGAGATCTGCCTGCCTCTGCCTCCTGAGTGCTGGGATTAAAGGCGTGCATGCCATGCCCAGCTATGTGTCTGTATACAATAAATGTGTACAACATTGTCCTTGCCTCTTGACTATCTGGGAAACATTTGCTGTATTATTGGCTTAACTATATTTTCTAATTTCCTAGTCTTTGAAACTAAAAATTCCTAAATAATATTGACACTAATGTCCAGCTGAAAGAGAAATAACTGTTTTCCCCTGGCAATATCTGAATGTGTAGGCCATATTATGAATTAGCAACACCTTAGTGGTACCTATAGCATTAGACTTGGTTCAACAGGGCTACAGAATAGTAAAGCATAGGCTTGACAGAAGGGGATTACAGGCTGGAGAGAGGGTTAAGGAGAGCATGGTAGAAAAACCACGCTAAAGCAGGGCACACTACCATAAAAAAACACTAGTTGCATAGGTCAGATTTATGGGGATTTGTTTTAGGGAAACTGCTCATCAGCAGAGGAATCAAGGAATCAAAATAGAGACCCAAAAGAGATGGCATTTGACGTG